TTTGTCATCACAACTTTTTAAAATCCAACACTTCTGCCAGCTGAAGACATTCTAACCTATTGCATTTTAAACAATAAGTATACAGCATAAACAATAATTGGCAGTAATTGTATGAATCGATACCCTACTTACAACAGTATTATTTCAAATCATGATTCAGAACATCACTGCAATGTGGAAAATATGCATAAGGCACTTAGGAGCAGATGAGATAAAACAGGGTAAAGTTCCATAAACTCCACGTTATGAAAGAGTCAGAACAGTAAAAGGCAGACTAAGTAATAAAGATCAGGACTAGTTTGTGATGAAAATTCTGAACAAGGTATCTTTTTTGAAGTTTATTTTAGAGGTAAAACTGAACAAATGATAGTTGACCATTGTCTTTGATAATGCAAAACAATTTTCCTTCATTGCTTGATTGTACTTAAAAAGAGGAGAAGGGAAAGTAACCACTCAGAACAAGTTGAGAGCACATCTGAACTGAACCCTTAATCTACTCCTGTCCTGTACTCATAGATAAGAAAATCCTGGCTGTGACACTTTGGCAAGAGTTGTGACTACATGCTACTATGCCCTCCTCCACTGGACAATTACCTTGCTACTGTGTCCTCCCACTGCCCTTTTCCAGCAATACATCAGCCAATCATTTTTCTTCCTATCTATAAAATTACATATACGCACAGAAATATATGTGTATAAAAACACTTGCAAAGTTTGGTTAAATTTATATATACAAAGTTAAGGTATATATATGAGCCATGATGACACAGTGGTTAGATGCAGTATTGCAGGCTAACTCTCTCTGAGCTTGCTTGTTTTCTTGCAGATGTTTCATTACCCAAACTAGGTAACAGTGCTAGTGATGATCTTAACTAGTTTGGGTAATAAAAGGTCTGCAAGACAACAAGCAAGCTCAGAGAGCAACAAGGACCCCTCATGTCAACTCTCAGCTACAAATATTCTCCTTTATCAGCTTATCTCTGCCCACAATCAGGAGTGTCATCCTGACCAGTTCAACTTGATTCAGCCTTCCATCTTTCAGTTAGTAAAACGAGGACCCAGATTGTTGGGGGCAATATGCTGAGACTGTTATAAAGCCCTATGGAGTGGTATATAAGTCTACATGATATTGCTATATATTTAAACATAAATACCATATTTCATAAGAAAAATCTTTTCTTGACACCCTGTTGTACTCTACTGTCTTCTGGGGCAAAGTAGAGTTGAAATATGGATGCATCATTTCATTGATTTTCCAGACTCTTGAGGGGGGGAGGGTTAGTTCCCAAAGAAAAACCTAGGACAAAAATTAGCTAGCTCAGGAAAACAAAAATATTAATTAAAATGTTTTGCTAGATTTCAAACCAAATATATTCAGTCACTAAATGAAGGTAATAGCAACTCTTCTATTTCAGTCCTTTGCTTTAAAAAAACTCTAAAAAGCATTAGTGATGAGGAACAGCAGCTATAGACACAGCTGTGGTTGTATTTCTTCCTTTACAAAGTAACGTCTGACCTGGTTATAAATGTACAGTAGTAAAGTAAATCACTCCATCAAAACAGAGAAGTCAAGATGACATGAGAAAACTATATGTTAAAATCACAACAGACTATTGTATACATAAATCACTTATCTAGTAAAAGTGAATACAGGATGATATTGCTTGCTTCTTCCTTTAAAGAATGGCTATAGATCTGTCTTTCATTTTAAATGTGTATAGATTTAATTTCTTTTAAAGCATAAGGAATCTAGAGTTCCATCCCGATTCTTCCAGAGATAACTCTTTTTTTATATAAAGTAGTCCTAAATAGCATACTTTGTCTCTCAGAATTTACAAATTATTAATATTAAAAGATAGAATTTGCCATGCCTTTTATGGAAACCTAACCTAATTAAAAAAACATTTGATGTTATTTCTACTATCTCTGATTACTGATACAGCACTACTAAAGTCACTAGACCACTACCAATAGGAAGAATTCATTTAGATTGCTAATAGAAAAATGATATTTACATTCTGCCAGTAGATAGGACAGAAATGTGATTTGCAATTGCTAAGACCAAAGATATCTGAGGAGCCATCTCTTTCCAATGGAAGTAGCTCACCAAGTCATGCCAATGAAAGAGACTTACTACAAATGCCATCTGCTAAGGAATTCTGGCAGGAGTCAAGAAGAGCGTCTTTCACTGTGGCCCTGTCCATGTGGAATACTTTACCACCAGAGGTGAGGACTCTTCCAAACCCATTGGTCTTCCAGAACAGTATTAAAACTTGTCATTGCCAGTTGGCTTGCTTTCATCACTGGACATAGCTGACAGAGTAAGGAGACTTCATCTCCATACTATCTGTATCTTTGTCTTTGTGTTTCATATAATTTTAACTTTTTAACTTAAAATCAGAAACATAGATAAAAATGCATTTCGGTTTATATTGTTTACCTTGGCATTTGTTTAGTATTCCTAAGATGTAAGGACTGACAGCAAATGATTTTTTGTTAGACTATGATAAAGAAGATACATAAAGTACCCAATCCCAAACCACAAATAAAGACAAACATTAATGAGAGAATTTTTTTTATAAATGACAACCTATGTTCCTAGATCTATCCCATGAGCAGCACAACAGAGTTTCCAATATGTTTCAAAAGCAGGAATATCTAACAAATCTGAATGCTGTGTAGATCATTTTGGATCCACAAGGTAAAAACAGAATGAATTTTCATTTTATCTGGATTGAATTTTGTTCGCATTCATCTGGTTATTTACTAATCCAGACATCAGTTTAGTACTCCATTCATCTAAATCAGATGGCAATGACTACATATGGATGTCAGCAAACATCAGCAATAACTTGTTCCAGATCTTGAAATCATCTTATTCTTCCAAAGGATATTGCCATGTATTTGTCCAGACATTGTATCAGCTTCCAATAGTACTGTTATATATCTGTCTCTCTTGAAATGTTTTTACAGAATCAAGACTACATAGTTGTACTTCCTGCACTCCAATACGATCCATTCCTTCCCTTTCACATTTATTGGCCCAGCATTAACTACAGGTAGGCATATAGATTAATGGATCAATACAATAATAAATCAACTAATGCCACCATTGTCTAGTGTCTCAGTTCTGTGGAATATTTAAAAACCCATACATTAGGGACAAATAATGCCTTAACAATCTGCATATACAAAAGAGGGTTTGAAATATGAATTATGATTACCTATTAATCCTCCACAGAAACAATTCTTTTCTGGCAAAAATATCACCAGGAAATTCTTTTTACTGTTTCAGTTGTGTCAATAACTCAAGCTATCATGAGATATCTGGGGACAAAAGTGTTTTCCTCAGCCCTTTTCCAGAAGTGAGTGTATTTCCTTTCCACTGTGACCATGGCCACTGGTGGGTTTTTTTTCCTGCTCATGACCCAATCAACACTTCTGTCTAGATTGAAATGCCATTTCTTCTCATTCAGAAGATTAAAAGGCAGCAGTAAATAACAAGTAGATTGATCAGAAGTCCTAGTTCTTACAGAAACATTCCATCACATCAGTGGTTGAAAGGGATAACAGTTTGTTATATATCATCTGAAATGTATCATACCTAAGAGAATCCATTGAAATGTGTAAGGATAGACTTTTTTCCTTTTGTTTTTTCTTGTATCCAGTTTTTTAACCTTTCTTTTACCTGTAACCTCATGGGAACTAAATCCAAAAATGGGGGCAGTACAATTGATTTGAAGATAAATTGACTTTCTAATTCAATCATCAAATCAGATATTTATCGATTAACTGGATGACTTAATGGGTATTTGCATAGCCCCCCCCCCTTTTTTCCCTAATGAATTAACCATGTTAATCCAAGCACCTCAGTTGGACAATGTGATAATGGCTTTTTGAGTTCACTTAATTTTTCAAAATTGAATCAACAATTTTAAATGGATTGGATCTAATTTGCACAGGCCTATTAAAGCATACTGCTTAGAACTGGAAACCATGTAATAAGCTTCTCCCCATATGTTCAAATATAAGTCTACAGGTATTCTCAATATAGAAAAAGGGAATATCTGTATATGTCAGTATGTGAAATAAAGGCCGATGTTAAAGGAATTTTATTCATCTTTAACAAGGCTAACAAATCTTTCAAGGAGCACTTTCCCCTGACAAAGATGTGTGTATCTGCATCCCTTTTTCACTATGAGAGTACAAGAATGTATCTGTTCACTTGGAAAGGGCCTGATGAGTATCCCATCTCTGAAAGCGTTCCATCCACCCAGAATCCATACCAGAGATTTCTCAATGGTGGTATCCATTTATGACACATAATATCATAATTCATGAATAACAAAGTGATACACAAGAAGATTAAAATTATAGGTAAAAATGATTCAGCCATAGTGAATAATATTTGCTGCTACATCCTCATAACTAATGGGGAAAATTTGGCTTTACTGTAGTTAATAATGACTATTCAGTTTGCCAGAAGAACCAGGGAATCTTCATTCATCATCTGGATCAGCCAGTCCTTTCATTGGGATCTAACCAACACAGAACATTTACAATCATAAAATTTACAATAGAAAGGTATGCAATGCATATTCTGTAGTCAAGGGAATCACATGGATATTTATTAATGGTAAAAATATTTCATTATATACCTTCAGTAAGGGAAGATGAGGGGGACAATATTAGGGTAAATCAACTGTAATATCTACAGGTGAAACTGGAAAAATTAGAATATCGTGCAAAAGTTCATTTATTTCAGTAATGCAACTTAAAAGNGATAATGATAAAAATCCATGCTGATCTGAGGCGGCAATAAAAAAGTACAGTATGAAACTCACAGCTATCTGATAAAACCAAGATAATGCAAAAATGATAGAACACCTGACCTCTCAACATAATAGGCAAGTTGGAGGGGATTTTTTTGCTCCTAGCTCCATATACATCTTGGTCTTCTATTGCTATGCATTTTGGAATAAAATATAAAGAGCATTTACCTGAAGAGGGAACTGCTTCCATCTGTCCATTTGTAAAGATCAGGGCAGGCACTGGATGTGGTTTGTCCCTCTCCATTTCTCCATAGGCCAATCCAGAAGTCTCCATCAGAAATCCCAGGACCTGATTTTGTGAGATTCTGCAGCATGTTTTCTATCAGTTTCTGTTCTGTTTCACTTTCAAGACTTAGAAGTACTCCACCACCCATTTCACAAGCTTGGCGAGCCTCCTGAAAACCCACACGCCGAGACATGTCTTGGAAATAGGCAATCTTGTAGCAGGGATGTGCTGAATCACCATAGCATATTTTTTGACCTAAAAAAAAATCACACAAAATAACACTGAATAATTTTTTATTCATATCCATAGATTTCATCCTTATCTTTTATTATATTATAAGTCATTTATGTTCAGACAATATTGCTTCCTTGCTTTATCATTGCAATTAAAATTTTAAAAGGAAAGGCACAATTCATGCATAATGTACTTGCTTGGTACGTTTGGAATTATCCATTTGGAAACACTTTTATTTCACCCAATATATATGACAAGAAGAAGGGAAAGAAAACATGAGTCCATTTGCTTCTTTCTGAATATATGGAAATTAAAGTATTAGGAATATGCTAAAAAAGCTAGTTGTTGGCATGTTATAGTTTCATTCCATACTGTATTATTCCCCATTTTAGGCTGTGTTGGAAAGCCATTACATATTTCCCTTGTAGTCATGGAAAGTTCTTGAAACAACATACATGAAAAGGTGTTTTATTACCAGGAGTTGGCTTTCCATGTTTCATCTTTTTCATTCTTACAATTTAGTATGGGTTGGGTTATAATGTAGCCAAAAACATGAATTTATGCTTACTTCATAATTTTTCTATCAAAAATATTCAAATTTAAATCTTGGGTTTCAGCCACTCAATATACTTGCTCCACCACTGAATATATTACATGTCATTACTTCACATTCTAAAGGTTTTCTTTCTCTTTCAACAGAGGGGAAGGGATATCTCCTGGAGAAACAAGGTTTTTTGCTTGTGGATATTTAATAGGTTATTATGTGAGATAGTAGAAATGCAAAACTGGAAAGGCAGTCTAGCTACCAGAATGTGCAGTGATGAATTCTAACCCATTTTCAAATTGTTCCCACACACAAAGCTAGCTCACATAAATGTCTAGAGCACTTGGTTAATTGGGAATAACTTTTATCTCTTAAAAATATCTACCTTAAGATAGATATCAAAGTCTGGTGTAAACAAATGAGGCAAATTAAAGAGCAATGGTTTCTTAAAGATCCAATGGTCTCTAATACCGAATCGATACTAGGCCCAGAGAAATTAAATAATCTATTCCTGCATAATATACACATGTAACTGGTTTGTGCTGTGTTTCTTTTTTTCTCTCTTTGCAATTTATATCAAACACCAATGATTACACCCAATATCAAATGTTCTATAAAGAAGCATTTTATTTGTTTTCTTTGCATAACATCTCAATGAAGTTATAATTTCACTAGATATGGGCAGAGACTAATTGCTTATTAACTACTGTGCTGTGGAGTCTTTAATTGCCAATGCCATAAAAGGGGCCTTTATGCTGAAGCAAACTGGCAACAGTTGGAGGAAAATCTTAGGTTATGACTGAGTGTTGAAGAAATAAGATCTGATGGAGGATGAAGACTTTGTATTTCATAACAACCACCTAGAAAATACCTGAAGATCAGGCTTGATGATAGAACTGGGATTCATGTTGTGCAACTCTACTGAAAATCCACACAGGGAGCAAAGTCCACAAGACTTTCAGGAATTAATCTCCCTGGAAGAACTTCAGCAACTAGTCTTAGAAATATCCTGGAAATCAGAATTGAAGTATGATATTGACATAAATATTAGGATCTAATATCTAATCTCTTCTTCATCAACTAAAAAGTTGTAGACTAAAATGTAGACTTAAAAGTTAATTAAAATGTATTAAACTGAAGAGTAACAAAAAAAACATAATGAACCTGAAAATGACCCATTGAAGCTATTTTATTAATTTAGTTTTAAAAGTATTTAATTCACTATGAAAATAATTAATTCCATATATTTTAAACTTGTTCATTTACCTGCTCAGCCTATAATGTACATACATGCAAGCTAACCAAAAATGGTTTTTTTGCCTTTCTAGAGGAGAAACAGATCAATCTCTGTAGAAAAATAAATAAATAAACAACTGATCTCATACTAACAACTGCAACATTCAGGAAGAAATGACAAAATATTTCAATATTCAAAGATAATATATTGCTGACCCCCAGGTTACAATCTCCAAAATAGAAATTTCATTGGAAACTCCAGATGAATAAGAACTAATGAAGACTTTATTCCATTCATTTTTCTTTGAATAAATACAAATGCTTCTCAGTTCTACTACAGGTGTTGATTAACATAGCAAAACTGAGATTGCCACCAATTACAGATGTTATGAATTTGTACTTTTATATTTTATTGCATTCAGAATGATTTTCAATCTTTGTGCATTTAGGTAAGTTTATAGAAAATTGGAGATACAGGCACCAATTCAGAATAGTATTTCATGTGCCTGTTTTCCACAAAAACTTTGTATGGCATAGTAATAGTATAGCATAGTAATTTTCTATGGCATAGTAATTTTCTCAAACTAAAATTGGAAGTAACTAACAAAGCATGGAAGTCATCATGAGATTCCTGCCATTCAATTATTTATGGTGAATAAGAAAGAATAAGGATGCAAAAGATTATTGCATGGATAAAAAGGGATTTTTATTTAAAATATTTGCATGGTTACCCATCTTAAAGACAAATGTGGGTGGCTCACAAGATAATGCCTGTTTTCTCTTAAATTATTTCTCATATCTCCTGTTCTCATTGCAGTAATTTATTTAGTTTGTAATATATCTGTTTCTCTAATATGGTCTTTGGCATATTATTTTACCACTTAAATTAGGTCTCCTGGAGTCACAGCAAAGAATGGTCCATCCATAACCTATCATATGATTATAAATCATCCTATCTTACCATTTTGAAAGAACGTTAATCTGTTGATTAATTAAGTTAAGCATTACAAATGTTTTACTGCAGTGTTTTCTTTTGTACTGTCAGTGTAACGTAATTAGAAATAGAATCACATTATATTATGACGCTTCAAAAGCAGCTGCAGGGGCATAATTTCATAACTGTACTCTGTGTATCATTAGAAACAGAAACATATTTAGTTTAAGTACTTTTTGCTGGCAAAGCACATTTTCCTGGCTTAACATTCCAAGTAATCTTTTATTTTTCTGTTCAGAAATTGTTTTATGTCAGGTTCTCATAAATACAATTCACAAAACTAATCATTAATTACTTATACCTTGTGATTCTGAACAAGTATTCAGCAATAATAGAAGAGCTGTCTAATTAATTACATTAAAGATTAAAACACAAATAAAGCAAGTATTCTAAGATATAAATAGCAAATATCTATTTAAAAAGAAAGATCTCTTATCTTTCTTAAAGAGCAATTAGGATAAAGCGGCCAGCAGTATATTCCATAGTACAAGAGAACCATCAAAAATCCTCTTCTCCAATCTCCTCTTACTATATCTCACAATATGATATTTAACAGACCCTCTCTCTAGGTGCCCTCATAGGACAAGGAATATATTGGAGTAAGTTATTCCTGTTTATTTTAGAAAATAATGTATTATGATTCTAGAGACACTGTAACAGCACCTAAAAAACTTTCCCATATAGACTTCTTACATTGATTGGTGACGAGGCTGTCGATCGTCCAATATCACTTAGAGTCGATACCAGAGGCAGTATGGAAGTGTTCCAATTTCTTTTACCTTACTATTGCTTTGGAAGCATTTTCCATTTTAATGACTTCACTATTTTCTCTGTCAATACTTTCATAGCTTTTTGTCAAAGAACAATGCCTTTAAATAAATGAATCACTTTTCTACACCTTTGACAAATGGCTTAGGAGTCAGTAACACATATATACCCGATGGTTGTGTGGAGATGTATTAAAAATAGTATTATTATTTGTAGCTTGTAATGTTTCAGGTTCTAATCCCTAGCACCATGTAACGAAGTGAGTTCCCATTACTTGTCCCAGTTTCTGCCAACCTAGCAGTTCAAAAGCATGTAAAAATGCAAGTAGAAAAATAGGAACCACCTTTGATAGGAAGGTAACAACATTCTGTGCACATTTGGTGTTTAGTCATGCCAGCCATATGACCACAGAGATGTCTTTGGACAGTGCTGGCTCTTCGGCTTTGAAATGGAAATGAGTACCGCCCCCTAGAGTCGGGAATGACTAGCACATATGTGCGAGGGGAACCTTTACCTTTAATGTTTCAGGTATTTCCCCAATTCTTTCTGGTACATGACCACTATATGGAAATCAAGTGATGTACATCCATATAATGTATGCATTTACTAGATTTAATGTAAAGCAATATAGTAATTTTAACTTGATCCTGATGAAAAAATCTGGGTATACCCATCCAAAAAAAATCCTTAAGGGATCCTGGGTAGTTTAAAATATTTAATATGTACTATGAATGGAAAATTAAGAATACTTATGTATTTGCAATAATACACCTTTGAAGTGGAAAGAGCATATGTAAGATCAAAATTTATATGTATATCTTACTCAGCAATGTTTTAGTATTCGTAGATTTCCAAAAGATATACAGGTCTGGTTGTACAAGGAAAATGTTTTTTCAATTGCTAAATAAATATGTTTAAGACAGAAATTGAAACTATTTTTAGATGTTTAGACATTTCTTAAGAACAGAAAATACAGGTAGTCCTTCACTTACAATATTTCATTTAGTGACCATTTAAAGATACAATGGCACTGAAAAAGTGACATGACCATTTTTCACACTTATGACCATTGATGCATCCCCATGGTCATGTGATCAAAATTCAGATGCTTGGCAACTGAGTCACATTTATGATGGTGGAAGCATGCTGGGATCATATTGGCATTAGTTCTCATCCATAAATTTAAGACAATATACAACAGAATGGTGAAATACATTTATTATTTGTTTACCTAACTGACCCTTCTTTGCTATTCCTTGATCATATAGAACTTCAATTTTAAATAATGTAATTTAAATTATGTTATTTAAATTTTAAATAATTTTATATTATTCTGGAAACCAATGTGAAGATGTCTCTCAAGAATACACCAAGGGTCTGCTCATTGCAAACTGACAATACCAGTGTCTTGCAGAGATCTATGGTAGCTTCCATGTCCATTGAGCTATCTGAGTGTAGATGTGTACTATTTTCTCTGGGGTGGACACCAAATACTACTTTGAGAAATCACAAAGGAACAGGTATTTTCAGTTGACAGAAGCAGTACAATTTTGAAAACAGAGGCTGAAAAATATTTATCTTCCAAAACCTAGTCTTACTCATCAATTTTATCTGCAACATCTAAACTGAAGACATTGAAAATATCTGAATACTGATCAACCAAAATATGTGATTTATGGGATTACTTAATTTTTGAGACTTGCTCAATGTACTAAAACCATAAGCTAATTATATTGACTGGGTTCAAATATTTATTTATTTATTTATTTATTTATTTATTTATTTATTTATTTATTTATTTATTTATTTATTTATTTATTTATTTATTTATTTATTAGACTTATATACCGCTTCATAGCGGTATATACCGCTTTCAGCCCTCTCTAAGCAGTTTACAGATTTTTAGCAAATTGAGTCAGCAAATTGCCCACACANAAGCCGCTGAGAGGTCAAGGAGGACCAGGATG